TAGATATTTACGTAAATATCTTAGAAAATAAAGGTCGTATAAAAAATGTTTTCAAACAAAAGTTGTTTGTTTCTTTACGTAGAATTAAATTCCGTAATAAAAAAATATGTTTCTATTTAAAAAAGCAAAGTTGACCTCGATCTGACGTTGGCAGCGCCACGCAAGGTCAAACCAATGTATCTTCTTATATCCTCTTCTTATATCCTCGAACTATATAACTTTTGTCTGGAACATTTTTGCTGAATATGCTTGGCTGAAGAATTATCTTTTAAAATGAGACATCTTGTATATATATAATTAATATACATTATCTATATATATTATTATTAATATATATATATATTATTTATATAATATATATGTATTATTAATTTTTAATAATGTATTAATATTTCATTTATGTATTTTATTACATGATCGACTCCTATAAAAGTAAGGTAAAAAATACGAACATTGTTTCCACAAAATATAAATTTTGCATAGGAGTCTTTGCTAACTCTTTCAAGATTTACTATTTTAATATATGATAAATTCATCCATTAGTAAGATGAAAGACTGGACTACTATTCAACGAAGGATATTTTTACTTCAAAAACGCTAACCGAAATCTGACAGTTTGAGTCATTCTAAAATATTATACTTATCATATAGCTTTGTAGGAGCATTTTTTAAAGGGTGTTAAATATAATTTATAAGAAAAATGAATAACTTTCGAATACTTTGCATACTTAGACAGAAAGGTATAACATTTGCCGAAATCTGAGATTTGTTTTATTCAAAATATTTCCCAAGTAAGCTGTCAGATTTCGGTTAACGTCTCACTGCTTTCTATCTAACTGCGCAGTGTTTGGAAATAATTTTGTTAAAAATAATGTAACATTGTGTAGTAATGTCCATATTCTTTATAAAATATTTTAATATGACTATACAAGAATTTCTATATATTTTAATATTTTAATGCATGTTAAAATTTATATATTTAATGCATATTTAATTCCAAATCTTACATAGAAGCTTTTGTTAATTTTTTCAAAATCTTATTTTAGTACATAGACTCACACACACAATCAATCTGAGCATACCGCAGCATTTTTTAAATAGTTGCAGAAAGTAGCTTTCTTTACTTAAAATTGCAAAATGAATATTTTACTTGAATCAGTATTTTTTTGCCGAGATTTCGGTTAACATCTCATCATATTTCGTAGTAATGGGCATCATTCAGAAAATATTAATGAGAAAAAGATTACACAGATACACAAAAAAGGTCATATTTGTTCTGAAGATGAAACCATGGTATTCTTATGTATTTTGACGCTCTGAAACCGAAATGACTCCATCTAAATAAATCCATCACGTTACAATTTTTTTTCGATGAAAAATAGTTCGATATCAGTTTTTTTAAAGCCACTTATGATCCTGTTTTTGTTATGCAAATTAGTAAATTAAAAATTACTATTACATACTTCAATTCACAGAATAGTGCACAAGATGTCAAGATTGATATTAATATGTACAAGTACTTCTCACGTCTTCGCCAGCTCTCGGAATTGCCTCGAGCGGAATCGGATCATTCGCGACCGGAGCAGCATAGCGCACCACCCCCGACTCTGTTTTTCGAGCAGCCTCCTTTCCAGCACACTCGACTTCCTATATGTTCTATATGTTAATATGAATCCTGACGTCTAATTTGTTAAACAATGATATAATATAATGCTACCGTCTGGAACACTTTAAAAAATGCTTCAGTATATTCATACACACGATATTTCAATTAAACCAGAATTCACAAATTTCGACCAGCATCTCATTCTACTCTGTGTTATTAGGCATCATTCAGACGATATTAATTTTTTTTTTTGATAATACAATGTTGTGTGTATGTGTGCGCGCGCTAATGCCTAGAACTCTTTAAAAAATGCTTATATATGTTTAGAACTAAGCGAGAACTTTTTTAGAAAGGCCAAAACTCCCAGATTTCGGAGGATCTCACCCTATTCTGTCGAAATAAACGATGCTCAAACAAAATTAATATTTTAAATAATGATGCAACATTGCTGAAACTCTTTAGAAACTCTTCAGTATGTTCAGATCTACTCGAGAAATATCTTTAATATAAAAGAACTCTCAGATTTTGGTCAGTGTTTCACACCTTTCTAAGTATATACAGTGTTCAAAAGTTAATTAATTTTTTTTATAAATTATACAGCATTTTAGCTGCTCGGCTCTCTTCAGAAAATGTTTTTACATGTTCAAAGTTATATGATAAATATTTTGGAATGACTAAAACTATCTTATTTTGGCTAACATTTCACACTTTTCTAAGTACACAGCGCTCAAACGTAAATCTTTTTTTTTATAATGCAACATTGCTAATGCCCAAAACTCTTTATGAAATGTTTTAATACAATTAAAGCTATAAAAGAACTTTTTTAGAATGGTCAAAACTCCGAGATTTTGGTCAATATCTCAATTCGTATGCTCATTATATTATTGTCGCTAAATTGTTTATTTATAATTAATTTTTGTTTTTATACAGAACTATTTATAGAATTATAATTATTATAATTATTTATTTATAATTAGTTTTTTTGTTTTTATGCAGAACTATTTATAGAATTGCAAAATCTAGCATGATATCGTAACGGAACTTATTTAACAAAAATTAAGACGCAATGTGAACTTGGTGTTTTGTCTGGTCTCATTTTTCTATCTTAATGTGCAGAACTATTTGTTTAATCTATCATAAACATTAGGATTATTAGAAACAAAACTAAAACTTTGAATAGTTTCCATGAAATAAAATACCATCTTCACATGTATAAAATACTTTAGTGATAAATTATTTTAACACAAACTTTACATAGAAGTCTTTACTAATTTTCTTAAGATGTTATTTTAGTATACAATACTCATCAATTTCATACAGCAAAAGATGAACATATTCAACAGGCTAGAAACTTTTAGCTTGTATAATAACATTCCTGTTTTCATACAAAGCATTTACTTTTAAAGAAAAACTGAATATTATCATAAATGCACACATATAATTACAATTTTATCTATACAGTGTTAAAAATGTACATTCTACTTAAGAAATTATTTTATTAATAACTCTTTGATAAACAATGAGCAAAACAATTGAAATATTTTACTCAGGAATTATTACTCAGGAATATGATCTTGACAAAATATCTCAATCTTGACAAAATATCTCAAAATACCTGAATATGGATCAGTTAATGTAAATATTTGTTCCTAAATATCTTTTTAATAAATAACTTGAATTTTAGGCATGTATTTTCTCACTTCTGACATCATTAATCAAGAGTTCCACAGCAAGAGAGCTAGGAGACTTAAGGGACATTCTGTATTTGACTGAAACAAAGCAATCAATATCCACCTGATATATTTAAAATAGTATTAACAGAATATGTTGTAATCTTTTCTCACCAGATCACTAAATTGAAGATAGTAGAAACCTGATTTAGCCAACTGCTCTGGGGAAACGACAGAAGATATCGGCCAACTGTTGAACGATCGTAATCTTTGCGAAACAGTACCATAATCTTTCAAAGGATTCGTACTACGTACAATAGTCTCTCGTACTTCACCTGGATTACCCTTGATAACGTTAGACTGCCGTGTGGCTAGTGATGATGATGTCACTGCCAATTCCGTCGAGATACCAGCTGACGCTGGCACTAACGGTATGTTGCATGTATCGGCTGCATTAAGGACGAAGGGACAAGCAGGCTGGGCCTGTCGATGTCGCGCCATAGCTTGGTCACCGTAATTCCAATCGGATACTGTTGTACCGCACAAAAAACACTGTACCTCCAAACCATATCCAGTGTAATAAAAACCTGCTTTCGCAATTCGCGCTGCGTCAACTGCGGCATTAGTTGGCCATTCATCGAACGTCTTGAGTCTGTTCTCCTCGACATTCATCTTATGCGAACTCAGACTACACTAATATCGAACGTTTACAGAGCAAATAAACTCTCGATGAAGTTTTTTGCGCGCAAAGAAAACACGCTACGTTATTTTATTCAAGTGATGCTTAAATGCGTCTTATTGTTAGGCTCTCGTGATATAATGCCTACGTAATTCGATTATTCCAATATTGAAATATTAGAAGTTTCTTCTCTCAATCGAGTATGTACTAGTATTTCTCAAGTTTTTACTTCTCAATGGTTTTATGTGAGGACATGCAATATCACGATATATACATAATATATACATAGTAGTACAACTACCTGTCAGAACAACAACTTTAGTATCACTGTATTACTTAATGCTACTATCATCACAGAGAAAAGAAAGAAAGGTGTCATAAGTCAATTTTAGCTGATTCACGTATGTAAAGCGCCTCTATTAAAGGTGTCCATAAACTATGCCGCCAAAGAACAAAATTTTCTCTGTAGGTAATACGCAATGTCAACAATTTTTTGATTTTGTTTTGTATTATGCTTACGAACAGGGCAGCGATCATGTAACTTCCAGCGAATCTTTTCATTTTTCACTTTTTGCTCTATCGATTTTACGTGAACTTTTTCATTGTTCACGCAATCAAATAACTCTATGCGTGAAAAGCACAAATCACTAAACATGGTTCCTATATGATTTTAATATCGGCCAAATCAGGGGTGCGTTCGAAAACACTGAAAGTCCACGACGGAAAGTGGCTGGTGGAGTTAGTGGAGTTGGTATTGAGAGGAGTTTTCGAACAGCCATGGAAGAATGCTCAATGTGACATACTAATGTGCGTTCAGATTCTTCATCCGGGTGCACTCTATTACTAGAAACACTATAATATATGTTACATATACTATAGCACTTCTAGTAATAGAATACACCCGGGTGTGGAATCTGAACGCAGCCCTACATGTGTGTTGTGCCTACATATGTGTTGTACAAAATGGCTGATCGAAAGCGTATTTCGACATTAGCTATAATTGCTTCTCAGCAAAATAATAATAAATTAATAAATTTAGTAATTAATTAATTAATTAATTTAGTAATTATTAATTTATAATTTAGTTATCTGGAAAGTTAATTGGCTATATATTTCTCGGTCCGAGAACTCGGATCGATTTCTAGCATCGTGGGCACCAGGCCTAAGGAAATTTATAAACTTATTTATTACTCCTTACCTTTAACATCGTATATATAGACATTTCCCTTGTCATCCTTTTGTATATTTTTTTAAATATCCATGCATAAAATATGACGACCCGAGATTAAATTTTCCATTTTTTTTCACAAATTGTTACTGATTCGTGACTTTTAACGTGCCTCGTATCTCGTAAGAAAATTTCAGAACCTATAAAATACAAAAAGCTTAATAAGCTTTATTTATATTTAAAGACAATATTCTGACAATATACATCACTATAGAAATAAACCTAAACCTGGCTAACCTACACTGCTGTATTTAAATTTTTTATCTTACCGTGATGGCTAATGGTTGTACGAATGTTTCGAAGAACAAAAAACCATAAATAATTTAGTAATTTCATACTGTATTGCACTCTTTGCGCACTCTCCACCATCTCCACCGATTCACACCGCGCAAAAGAGAGTGGAGAAAAGTCACACGAGTGGTCCACGGAGTACGGTTTTCGAACGGCCATGGTCGCATGGTCAGTGTGCCCACTAGGGGTTTTCGGACGATCTGAGTGTGACAAAATACACACGGGTGATGTTTTCGAACGCACCCCAGCTGTATCCATCGGCTGTAGAACATATAACCTTAGGACTTTTATGTTTCCTGTATCTCATCGCAGCAGTAGCATAGGGTGCTTTCCAATTGCTTAACACATCTTGACACATACGTACACAAAATCAGTTTATTGGTCACATATTATCTAAAACATCTTGTAAGATAATATGCAATCAATAAACTGGTTTTGTGTAACACAGTGTACGCAACTGAAAAGCACCCATAATATATTCCGTATTCATCATGGGTGCTTTCCAATTGCTTAACACATCTTGACACATACGTACACAAAATCAGTTTATTGGTCACATATTATCTAAAACATCTTGTAAGATAATATGCAATCAATAAACTGGTTTTGTGTAACACAGTGTACGCAACTGAAAAGCACCCATAATATATTCCGTATTCATCATGGGTGCTTTCCAATTGCTTAACACATCTTGACACATACGTACACAAAATCAGTTTATTGGTCACATATTATCTAAAACATCTTGTAAGATAATATGCAATCAATAAACTGGTTTTGTGTAACACAGTGTACGCAACTGAAAAGCACCCATAATATATTCCGTATTCATCATGGGTGCTTTCCAATTGCTTAACACATCTTGACACATATGTACACAGAAATGTACAAAGTGTAATGACTCCTGCACACAGGACGCGGTAATGCGTGCCACATGGCAGAAATCCGCATGACAACCAATCAATACGTTGTTTTTCCGTAAGAGCTAGAAAGTTATTACGGAAAGCAGCATATTGATTGGCTGTCACGCAAACTTCCGCCGCGTGGCAAGCGTTACCGCGTCCTGTGTGTAGGAACCATATGGCTTGAACAAACCTTTTGTCTCACTCTAAGGGCCGTGGCACACAGAAAAACTTAAGCAGTAAGACGTAAGCAGTAAGCAAATTGACTAATCACAGTCGTTGATTCTTGGACCGTAAGAAAAATCAATGCGTTCAGCAGAAAAAGTTGCTTTGCAACTATTGTAAAATTCGTGAATCTAATTGGTACATGTTCTTGGATTCAACCAAAATTAAGAGCATACTCCAATCAGATTCACGAATTTTACAACAGTTGCAAAGCAGCTTTCTCTGCTGAACGCAGCCAATGACTATGATTGGTCAATTTGTTTACTGCTTACGTTTTACTGCTTAAGTTTTTTGTGTGCCATTAGCCTAAAGGGACGTCTACATTGGAAATAAGCAGTAAGAAGTAGGAAGTAAAAATAAGAAATTGACCAATCATAGTTGATTATTCTTCTCACATTCGACTGTGGTTAGTCAATTTCTTACTCTTACTTCCTACTTCTTGCTATTTACTTCCAATGTAGACATCCCTTAAAGCCGGCACACTTAACGGCACACGATGCTTGTTTTCGTGCTGGGCTTTTATTTTTGAAATAGTTGCGTAAGTTTTACTGCGCAGCTATTTTATAGTATGATTAAACCTGCGCAGTAAAACTTACGTATACGCAACTATTTCAAGAATAAGGGCCCTAGATTGCTTGCTGGATAAAAATTTTCTATTCTGATTGGTCCATCTTCAGAAATGCACCAATCAGAACAGAGTATTTCCATCCAGCAAGCAATCCAGCATGAAAACAAGCATCGTGTGCCGCTGGCTTAACTTATGGCTCCTACACACAGAACGCGGTAATGCTTGCCGCGCGGCAAGCTGTGTGCAGTAGCTATTATTGCACCAGTTTAGCAGTGTAGGAACAGAAAACAGACCCTATATTTCCACCATGATATCAACTTTATAGCATGTTCAACTGTCTCTGATAGCGAATTCGGTTGCTTGCACTAGTGTGCACTGAGTGCGCACTAAGGCTTGTTCATAGTATGTTATTATATTTAAAGATTGTTTTAAATAATTCTCAAATAAATTCTCAAATATTTTTAACCATAATATGATATGTATAACATCCGTACGAATCATTTTATTAGTTAAAATGTTTTTAAATATGTATTTAAGACATGATCTTAAATATAAGAATGTACTGTAAACAAGCCTTAATGCGCATTCAGTGCGCACTAGTGCAAGCTACCGAATTCGCTATGAGTTAACCCACTCTGGGTTATTCAGTCTATACATTTATTGGTCAAACAAGTACTTATAAGCTTTATGATTGGCTAGTAAAGACTTATGACGTCATTAATCGCTCTCGGAGCGATTAACTCAGGGCCAGTCGACCACGCTAATAGATAAATGCGTGCAATGCGTATCATGCTGTGTCGGAAACACACACTGTGTGCACACTACTAGACGATAGCCGTTGGAGTGAGCGAAATACAAGAGTGAGATAAAAAGAGAGGGAAAATACTCGAGTGACGTTTCCGAATGCAGCCTTACAGAAGCTAAAGTAGCTAAATAGTTTAGCAGTTAACGTATTCTCTCTTCAACAAATATTTTTTATAATGGCGACAATAACGAGATTGGCGAAAGTAAGTTATTATTTATTTATTATTGAAATTATATTTTAATATAACGTATATGATTATTTATATATATTTTAGAGCATATGGAGAGTTATAAAATAGATTGTGCAATTTTGAATATTTAAACTGCTTTATAGAATAAAAGCTATATATTATTATTATTATTATTATTATAACTATACATACTTCTTTCTTTTTTATGTATATTTGTTTACCTTTTTACAATATACAATTAAAAATGCATTGTTCAACTGTATATTTGAGAGTTTGATATTTTCCATTCTATACTTTTTAAAAAACTTGTTAATGTTGCAATTGTTGAATCAAGATTATCTAGAGAGTAGTTTAATCATAATATAAAAATATTTTTTTCAGATAAATTTTATTAGTATACGTATGTATAGTTCCAAAGTGAAATTAAATGATGTTGTTGTAATCAGTGCTGTACGTACTCCAATGGGCTCATTCCTTGGATCTTTATCAAAAGTTTCAGCAACAAAACTTGGTGCAGTAGCTGTGCAGGTAAGAATTTACATATGTCGAATGATATGACAATATCACAATTTACTAAAGATCATAGTGTTTTATAGGCATCTATTGAAAGAGCTAATATTGCTAAAGAACAAATTAAAGAAGTATACATGGGCAATGTCTGCCAAGGTTTTCTAGGTCAAGCACCAGCAAGACAGGCTGTATTATTTGCAGGTTTTGGAAATATGCATTTTTCTTTGACATTTGATGATATCTAATAATTTGGCATAAAATATAATATAAAATCATAATTTGTTAGATTTTTTAAAATTAATTTTAAAGTTTATTTTTAGGTCTTCCAAAGTCAACAATATGTACTACAGTAAATAAAGTCTGTGCAAGTGGCATGAAAAGTATCATGTTGGCTTCCCAGTCTCTACAGTGTGGCCATCAAGAGATTGTTCTAGCTGGTGGTATGGAGTCTATGTCTAATGTACCATATTACTTAGCTCGTGGTGAAACATCATATGGTGGATTGAAACTTGAAGTAACTATATTAATTACATAATTACATGCTTCATGCACATGTACTAATTATATACTTAATTCACCATATATAAGATGGGGCAATAATTTTATTGTATTTGAACACACCTTAAATATCTACTCTCGTTGCTACATCTATGTAGCATTATAAAGATATATTTATAAAAGATCCTACAAAATCCTTATGGGGAATGGCTTTTGACTAAATTTTTTTAAAACTTGCTATATAATATATAATTCTTAATATGTAGATCAAAAGTATCGATGGATCTGAAGTCTAACAAACAGTTTCTAAGTTACAGTGACTCAAAGTAGGGATTTTCATACATCATGCAGCATAGTGAAAGAATATATTTATGTATATATATATACATACCCAAACAGCACAAAATATTTATAAGATTTATTTGAATATTTTATAAATATTTACCAAAATATTTCATAAATATTTTTATGACCTTAGCTTTAATAGATCATAAATATTTATCATAAATATTACAAAAATATTAAAATATATACATTTATATACTTTTCCTCTTTTCTGAACTTTTCTTAAATTTTTAAAATATATATGTTGTTAGTTTTTACTTTATATTGTTTCACACGCTACTTAATTCAAATTGAATTGTACTTCGAGAATTTGCTTACCATTGCCGAAATTCGAACTTGAGACCTCTGGTTCTTGAGTCGTTCACCTTACCTACTGCATCACTATCGCTTTGACTAAGTTGCTTTGTATTGTATACATATGGTATATACATACCACGTATGAAAACAGATAGTACGAAAATAAATGATTTATTTAAAAGAGGAGAATAGATTCTTTTAAATATAAAATATATGTTTAAAAAGTATATATATATAAATATATGTAACAAGTATATTTATAATATATATAAGTATATGTAATAAGTTATTTAAAAAATGCTTGTTTTAAAAGTAAATAAAATACATATAAATCATTTTGTAAATTTAAATAAAATGTTTCTTGATAATAAAAGAAATCTTTAATACAATTTTCTGATAATAAAAGACCTTTAATTTGAAATACAAAAAGATACTTTTAATATTAGAAAATAATTTATTTAAATTTATAAAATTATTTACTTGTACTTTACTTACTTTTAAAACAAGCAAATATTTATTTAAACACAGTTTTTATATTAAAAGAAACTAATTTTCTTCTTGTAAGGTAGTTTTTTTTTCTAGAAATTCATAATTTTACAGCTCATTTTACAAATTTAATAAAATATTACCTTATATTTATTACATATTTTCTAAAATTTAACAAATATTTTTTTAAGTTAAGAAATTATATTTAACAAAATATATTTCTTTGATTTAAAGAATTTTTTTCAGTATACGTTACTAATTTAAATTTCTTATTTAATTTAATAATTATAAATAATTACATTTTTTTATGTATACTATTTATAAAAATATCTACAAAGTATTATTACAAATATTTATTTTTTGTTTACTATAAATATTGTATAAAATATTTAGCCTATATTTTAATAATATTTTGAATAAAGATTTTGATACTTTTTTATTTATGTATAGAAATATTTATAAAATATTTATATAATATTTAAAAAAAATAATTTGACATAAATATTTATGAATCTTTTTCATAAATATTGTGTGCTGTCTGGGTATATATACTCGGATGTACATGCGCGCGCTCATAAGTTAAAAAAAAATTTAGTTAAAAGCCATTTCCTATAAAGATTCTACAGATTCTTTGTAAATGTAAGAGAGTAACTAGTATATGTTGCTTTCCAGAAAGAGACGCAAGTTAACACAAGCATCATTCTGTCTTTATTCCATATTTTGTATATAATGATGTTTGTGACGAATTGTGTCTATTACAGGAAAGCAATCATAATATCATAATTTTACAGGATGGTATTGTGTTTGACGGATTGACTGACGTCTACAACAAATGTCACATGGGTAATTGTGCTGAGAACACAGCTAAGAAATTAAATATTTCTCGCCAGCAACAAGATGAATATGCAATCAGTAGTTACAAACGTAGTGCAGCGGCTTATGAAATTAATGCATTTAAAGATGAATTAGTATCTGTCAGTGTGCCTCAGAAGAAGAGTAAACCAGCTGTAATTTTCAGTGAAGATGAGGAATATAAAAAGGTCAACTTTGAGAAATTTTCCAAATTGAGCACTGTTTTCCAGGTAAAATAATATTTTACTTGATAAAGTAGCAAATAATTATCAATACCGTAGTAACTTCTCGTATTTTCTTTATGTACATCTTTGTATCTGCACATATAGAAAGATAACGGCACAGTTACCGCTGGAAATGCATCTACGTTAAATGATGGAGCTGCCGCATTAGTTTTGACGACTAGCGAGATTGCTCAGAAATTGAATCTCAAACCTCTAGCTAGAATTGTCGCTTTCCAAGACGCGGCAACGGATCCTATAGATTTCCCAATTGCACCAGCTCTTGCGGTGCCATCAGTGAGTTGTCTATTGAAAAACTATTATTTAAAATAGACAGAACATTATAATCTCAATAATCAATTTATATAATTCTTTTTTTAGCTACTTCAAAATGCTGGAGTTAATAAAAACGACATAGCTCTTTGGGAAATCAATGAAGCATTCAGCGTAGTAGCTGTAGCAAATCAAAAATTACTCGATATCGATCCTACTAAAGTAAATGTTCATGGTGGAGCTGTTTCGCTTGGACACCCTATAGGGTAAGTTGTTCAAATATATTATTTTGGACGATTTTATGTGTGTTATATTATTATTATACACATGTGCGTCCGTGTGTAATAAAGCTAATATATTGATTATATTAATAACAGTTGTTAATCTTGTAGCATGTCGGGCGCACGTATTGTAGTACACTTGGTGCATGCTCTTAAAACTGGAGAAAAAGGTGTTGCATCAATTTGTAATGGAGGCGGAGGTGCGTCATCGATCTTGATTGAGAAATTGTAAATTTGTAAATGACAAACATAGCTTTGCCATTTTATAAAACTTAATTTTTAATGATGTATGTTTGTTTATTGGGACAATCGCCGAGATAATATTGATAGATGGAGTGTATGAAAAATACGAATTATTTTTATACTATGAGATGTTATATTCATGTTATTTTATTTTTTTAATATAAATATAAACATGTATATAAATATTTTATATATTTCCTCTTATTCCATGTACAAATTATAAGATTTTTCTAATATCATACATGTAGTATATGTATCTTTACTTTATACACCCAATGATGTATATACATAGACCAAGCATTTCTATACTTCTGCTGTAGCAGCGAGTGAAGCCAGAACTTAGCAGTTTAAAATAGAGTGAGAAAGTTGATTTGCTCTTAAGGGGATGCCGGAGCGAGCGATGAACTTGATAAGCGTCGATAACGTAGAGCGATCGTCGAAAAGTAGAAAACGTTATCTTCATTTACCGACGATATCGAATTTATATACACATATATATTTATAGAATAAAGACGATCGTCAAATAGGCGCTAACATAATACCGCTATCATCCTTTCACAGATGTTATGCAAGTGTATGTGCTATGTTGTCATTTCAATTTTCTTACACATAGACGTTACATAAATGTGAATGCCACGTTTCCGATATTCGCATTCTCTCCAAAACAGGCTTTTGCTGCATTTCTGATGAATTCTTCAAACCGTTTGTGTATTGGGTGCATCAAAGAAAAAGTTTTTAGAAAAGAGTGTCGTAATTTGCGAATAATATTTTGAAGAATACGTTACCTATTATTTGAGATTTCAATATAATTAGCAACGGTAATTTGAGATATTTTTTATTTTGCACTGACCAATGTTACACTTTATTTTCGCATGTAATTTTATCATACAAATTGGAGCAGTTAGTAAACTATAATTATTGAAAAATGAAATCAGTGTCATGATAGCAGTAGTTCCCTTATAGAAATATACTAAGAATCATTGATAATTACTTATTTTCAGTATTAAAAATACTGGATAATAAGTAATTATCAATGATTCTTAATATGATATTTCTATAAAGGTTTCACATCGTTTATCCTTGAAAGAGGAATGCTCTATTTCATTTATGCATGTATCTTTGCTATACAAAAGAATTTTTAATTTGGTCAAGTCAGCACAAATTAAAATTTTTTGGCAAATGTTGTTGACGTAATACCGAATACATTTGCGAAACTATTGTTTCGTGCTAATTGGACCAAAGTAAAAACCATTTTGCATTGCGAAAATGAAGCGACACATCCAAAAATATGAGACGATAATGCACTATTACTACCACAAAATCGAATTTTTCTGCAAAGTTTACTTCCTTCTACTTACGTAGAATTAAAAATCCTTTTGCATAGTGAAAATAATGCGAAAATGAAGCGGAGCATCCAGCAATATCCCAGTAAACACAAAGTAACAGTAACGTAACATCAATGTTATAATTTCCTACTCAACAATGTAACTGTTATATAACACGCACGTTATATAACAGTTACATTGTTGAGTAGGAAATTGTAACATTGATGTTATGTTACTGTTACTTTGTGATGTTGTGTTTACTGGGTATGAAATGAAAACGATAATGTACAGTTACTATCACGAAATCGAATCTTTCTGTAAAGTTTATTTCTCTCTATCATATCTTTCTGTAAAGTTTACTTCTCTCTATCTCTCTTCATAATATGAAATGAAAACGATAAGAAAAAATCTATTTTTTCATACATATTTATGATATATTTATATGATATATTTATATATACGGG